TATTGGAATGTGGTTATATAAATTAAATAAACAAGGAGCCATCACCTCCTTCTCTAACATGGTTATACCAAGAACGATTCAAGAGTCTTCTGTTCTTTTATTCAGAAAGTGAATGATACAGACACCGAGATTCAAGTGAATTTAGGCAGTATCGGTATAGACAATTCAAATTTACGGTGATCTTAATTAAAATAAAGTTGTTTGGTGGAGGGAAAAAATTTAGACGATGTTAAAGTTGCGAAAAACCTCTTGGATTAACATCAATGAGTGTCATAAGTAATACAATTATTTTTGCTCCTAACAATGATGCAAATCAGGTTAATGATTTAATTCCAGGTTCAAAACTCGATTCAAATGAAGGATGTTTCACTATCTCTTGTGATACTACTGTCATAGTTTTTGGGGGCAACAGCTAGTGCTCCAACCGGGTTGGTCCAATCCGTGACCCGACCCGGAACGCACATTTAGGGTCGGGTCGGATTGTGATCAAACCCGACCCGAAATAATTCGGGTCAGCCTAAAAATCGTTATTTTGGAATTAAACGAAATTTTGTGTCTTAGTAAAAATAAAAGTTATTAACGAAAAACTAATTTACGATTTTTGAATCAAACCCGACCCGACCCGAAATTATCGGTTCGGTTGACCTCAAATCCGATCCGATCCGACCGAACAGAGCTTTAGCATCAGCTAGGATATTTTTCTAAAGACTTTTCATTTGCATTTGATGATGGTACTTGTATTTCTATAATTTTCCTGGAAGTTTAGATGGTTAGTTGGCGATACATTTTAAAAATTTCGATAACTAAAAAGTGAATTTTATTAGTTGAATTTATAAGAAAATTGAAAAGTATTAATTTTTCGAGGTATATGTAGCTGTGCTAAATTTGTGGTCTACCTATTGATGAACTTCAATATAATCTTGTTTCAGCATAATCAAAATAAATCAAAATTTTGATTTAAAACTATTATTGTTATTCGATGTGAGAATATTTATTCTGTCTAGTTATTTCAACTTGATAAAAATATTTGATTTATTTGCCAAATACTTGAGCATGTCCTAATCCTTGAAATTGTAAATTTTTTATTTGTGAAATTCAAATTGTTATTTATATTTTAGTTTAATATAATTGGGCTCGTTTTGACGATTATGTGATGATGTGATTTAGTGAAATCGCGAGCAACTTTTGCTATTCCGATCATTAAATTAAGATCCCGCTCAATTTAGCGATGTTTATTAGTATTCTCTCGATTTTGCAGTTTAACGATATCTTGCAATTTGATTACCGATTCTTTTAAGAAAGCAATTGCAATGATAAAGTCATTGTTAAATAAAGAATTCTGATTTTTGATCATTTTCGTTGTATATGAGAAACTTGAACACTGATTGCATGTTTCACTATAGACGATAATGAAGATGCGTAAAACATGAGATGAAAAAGTATCAATCATTTTTTAAATGGCTATTTGCTAGCGCTAGCACTAGAGCTTGTTTGTACAGGAAGGTGATCAGAGGATAACACAAATCAAATCAAAAAATCTTAATATTAATTTAGAATTTGATTTTTGTTGATTATATTTTTTTATATAAATAAATTCAAATTTTCAAATAACAACGATAATAACATTAACGCTAACAACAACACTGAATCACTAGTACATGTATTCCATTTTAACGATGATTGTTAATTCGACATATTATTTTATTAGTTTTTCTTCATTCGTTGTTTTAAGACTGTCATTGGTGTTCTAATACCACTATACATGCATTTAAAGACAAGAGAGCTTGAGAAATGGATTTCTATTTGTTTGATGAAATATAAATTAAAACAGTACCAGCACACTTAATTTGTTTTGTAATTTGAAAATTTACAATTAGACGTACATGAGATATTATCTAATGCAAATTTTTGATACATGTAGAACGCTTTCGAATCCAACACGTATGTGCATGTACATGTACTTACGTATACTTATATTTTGCATTGCATACTCCAAATTGGAATCCTTTGCGAGAATAGCGATACAGTACATGTTAGAATGAGCGGAGCGGAGTGAATTGGGTTCATAATATAGTGGAGCAAGCGGTCAATCAAATTGAAATCGCTCTTGGTTTATTGTCTCGGGTTTTGCTCCAATATTACTCCAGATACTCCGGAGTATTTATAAAAGTCACATTTAATTAATTTTATTGGATAAAAGCTATATATAAAATGGTTTTATTAATTTATAATTTTGATAAAAATAAAGTTAAGAAACAATAATCATGAGTTCATTTACCCACATCACTTGGTCCTACAATTGTTGACTTTTTCTTTTGTCATAACGAAACTAACACTAACAATATCCAAATAATATATTTTCAAATCTGTTTCATTACCTTGATTTCGAGTCAGGGATATTCTAATCCCGGAACTATTTCATTGACTATTTTTAAAATAGATCATCATTGTAGCTCCGGGTCACTCCATGTGGAGCATGAGTGTTACATGAAGTACATGTACGTAGTTTAGGTTTATATAATTATGGCTCCGGCAGTGATGGCAAAATTAGGTCATTTGATATTTGATAAGTGACTTTTTGTCAATGATCACTAAATTTTAATATTAAATCAGGTCATTAGTTGATCACTTGAGGTTATTTTGAGGTCATTTTGAGATCACTGTCCAACACTGGGCTCCGGAGTCTAAGCTTTCTGACCGTAATTATTGCAACAAATTACACCATATATGTTGCATCATTGCAACAATTACAACATAAAAGTTGCAACATTTACAATTTTGTAAAAACAATTACGGGCGGCAAGCTTAGTGACTCCGGAGCGGAGTGAAATTTAGAAATTACATAGTAATCAGGAGTATGTTGCTCCATTAACAACCCTAGTACATGTACAAAACTCCGAGTGATAAAATCTAGAATTCCGAATTAGAATATTTTGTGAGAACACGTTTTATCGATTAAACTCCGAGTACATGTAATAAAATCTATCGCTATTAATTTAGAGCGTTTTTTTTTCACATCAACGTTTAGAAAATACAAAAAAAATGGATTTGTCTTTCTTCGAAAAGACCCCTAATACAGAATCTATATCGACAATCTTCGCAATTGGTAATTCAATCAATAACACTAACCATACGGTTACTGATAATAATAATAAAGAACCTTTATTAATAAAAACAATTAATGCTACCCATTATCACGAAGAGCCTCAAATATCGCGTCAGCATATCTCCAAAAAACTTTGAGCTTAACCAGTTCAGTTTATGTTTTTAACTAAGTGCAACTCACTTAGTTACCATACAACAAGTGAATTAGCTTTAAATTCTATCAGAATCCCTCCTTATGAATAAAAAAATTAGAAAATACTCCATAATATTACGTATTTTTGACTCGAAAAATTCTGATTATTGAGTTGATAGCTCTTTAAGCTTAAGGATTTTATAAGTTTATATTAGTTTGGAAATTTTTGCCGTATATTTGCTAATGATCACTACCATAAAGCGCTGGACCCCGGATACTTTAACAGTATACATTAAATGATACGATGAAACATAAGAATGCAAGAAATCGTCAACTATATTTGAATAAATATGTCAGAATCCCCCCTTTTTTGCGCTTCAGCAAAAATTAGTAACCATCAATACATGATTTGGTATTGATATACAACCGAAAAACTGGTCGGTGGCGCAGCAAATGGTGACCTGCACTGTAGTTAAACTAATTTTTTGACTAGAAGAACCAGACTATACCTTTTTAACATCCCTATCATATAATTACACACTTGATCACACAAAAAAGTGCGACTTTGAAAGTTTGTAATTATATGGATGTACAAGTTTTCTATGCGTTAGGAATACTAACGACTCTCATTGATGATTTTTAACTTGAAGTCGATAGTCATTCCAAGTCGATTTTTTGTAGAGTCGGTCGACTAGAGTTAATCATAAAATTGTTCATTGTTTCTTTACGTATGATTATAATATTGCTTATTGTTATTGTTTCTTTGTGATAACTATTAATCACTTGTCATTATTGTTTTTTATTGTAATTATTAAATTGCTAAAAATTATATCATTATGTAATTTATCAAAAAAATTTTGGTTTTATGATTTCGAAGATAATAGCAATTTAGAAGAATATATGGTGAATAACATCTAAAGTCATCAAACATTTGTATTTTATAAAATGGATAAACTTCTTTACTAAGAAGTAAATACCAAATTTAATCCGTAATATGCTCAGAAAGGCCTATTCTATCATATTCACTTCTTAGTAAAGAAGTTTATCCATTTTATAAAATACAAACGTTTGATGACTTTAGACTTTATGCACCATATCATTAGAAATCTAGTACATAACATGTAATTGATTGGCTGAAGGCAGTGGATCAGAATTTTGGCCAGTATTATGAAAAAAATGTATAATTTTAAATCTATATATACTACCAAAAAAATAAACAGACCCCATTGTTTTTACGGTTTAGTTTGCCAATTGTCATTCGTTAGACCATCATTCTCACGTGATTCGTCATTCACCTCTTACATTTCCAAAGTAAGATGACGAAAGGTCCGAAAAATTCTACGGTATTGTTAAAGGTTAATTTAAAGGTTAGGATTAGGATTAGGGATAGAGCTGGGGCCAAGATTATATGTAAAATTGTCTTCTCAACATTTTTTTAGTCGACCAAGCTAGATTTAGGCAACTGTTTTTCGTATTTTTTACATTCTGGGCTGATCAAAAATTTACGCATTTTATTGGTTTGTGCCACCAGCAGCACGTGAAAGACACTTTTTTTGCCGTGGCTAGGGTACTGTTTGTTATTTCACGATTTTTTTTACGTATCATGATAAAAATAGATCAATATATCATAATATCGTCACAATTACACTTATATCATCATTAGATTTTTTTAATAAATTGGTCTCAATTAAACATACCTCTTTTACTAAAAAACATCTATATCTCCTATTTCTTCTTAACAATAAGTAAGAAACAGAACGTAATGTCAAAACAAGACGCATACGAAGAAGAAGGCGTAGTGAAAGACGAAAACTATATCATCAATGAAGAACATGGGTCTGATGAGTATGATCCCGTGAAGTTAGGTGACCTTGAAAGTACGCAAATTAACGTAGAAAATGAATCATGATAACGAGTAAAACGGATAATAAGCACACACTTAAATATTGAATATCATAGAACCTGTTGATCCCAACGAAATTCAACCTTTGGATCACAATTTACGCGAGTCGACGAAAATAGTCCGTGAAACACCAGGATTATTTGCCGAAGACGAAAGTGGCTTCGATCAAGAGGGTAGACCATTACCTGTTGCTGATGATGAAAAAGAGAAAGATACTTCAAGACAATTGTAATTATAATTCTTTTTTTCGTATTCAGTTATTTTCTCATCCTATTAGACACGACGCATTATTCTGATTCGATCGTCGGAATTTTTTCCTAATCATTAACCTAGGTCTTCTCTCGTTGCTGCTTCTCATCGAGTAGGTCGTGATGAAGCATCTAAACGTGCTAGTGCTGAAAAAGCTTCGGAATTGCACGAGAAAGTCACCGGACAGCCGTTGGAAATCAATGGTCAGTCGTCGTTTTTGTTTTTACTTTGTCAATGTATAACTTCTGCAAATAAATTTATCGATTTATAGCAAAAGGTGAAGTCGAAACTGATACTCCTGTTAGTCAAGGATGATTGGGCATGTAAATGCTATTTTAAGGAGTAATTTCTATTTCTATATCTCTATATTCCAATAGTTAATAGTTTATTAAAAATAAGTTAGTTTTTATTGCAATAACAAAGATGTAGTCACAAAGCTTATTTAGTATTATCAATCAATTATATTAAATATTAGCAATTATATTAAAGACGAGCAATTCACCAGTTTAATTGAACTCCTAAGAACTTCCGGAACGGGCTCGTAATCTTTAGAATCATGAGCTCGCTCCAGAATTCCGTATGAATGTATCAGATGCCATTTTTTGGAGGCTAATTCTCACTTTTCTTACGAGAATGAAATTAATTAAAAAATAATTTGTCTTTAATGGAGAAAGGATTGTTGCCTTCGCCTAAAAAAGCACATGATCTGTCATGCAAACCACACGAAGGAGGCTACATCGTTATCAATGAATTACCAGCTACGGATTGTGCAAACTAACACTATCGCTATATCGATATTGATATGAACGTAGGGTTATTAACCGATCAGATTCAAGCGTAGAATACAGTACAATTCAATCTATCAATAATGAGTGTTCCTGTTGTAGTTTTTGCGGTGTCTTTAGTATTAATGTTGTTGGTTTCTATTATGGTGGTGTTATTTCTGGAGTTTCCCGTTTAAGTTGCCGTTTTTGTTATTGACATTCACGTTGTCATTATCACTGACATTAAAATCCCATAATTTACAGTAGCAACCATAAGTATCCGAACGTCCGGCTTGGCCCAAAATTATACTATAACGATCATCCAAATTTTCTGGACGTTAAATGTACATTTATTGATTGGCAGAGCTTCTATATCGGATATCCAATAATCTAATTCTTGATATTGCTACGGTTACTTTAAATGAAGGGTTTCTTCACTATTAGTAAAAGAGTCATATGAGTTGGGAGAGAGGAAT